GATGGTAGTTATAGCAGTGTGTGTGTGTATGTGTGTGTGTTTGTGTGTGTGTGTGTGTGAGAGAGAGAGAGAGAGAGAGAGAGAGAGAGACACTGTGACACACACGTCTCTGGGGTCACCTAAATCTTGTACCTGGTTACCGTAGTAAAAGTCCCAGCATCCCCTCTGACTGCTTTTAATGAGAATTGTCACAAATAATAAACAAGATGTCTGAATAAATGAGATGTTTAGTGTCCATCTACAGAAAGCACCAAATTGTATTTGTATGCATAATTTATATTTTAATTTGCATAATTTTTTAAAGATGAACTTGAAACGATTTGATTTGCATATTTTTTGAAAGTTAAATGTGAATCGGTTTCATATGCATAATTCATTTTTAAAAGATTGAAGATTGAAAATTGATTCTCAGAATTTTTCTGACATCAAATCATCATGTGTACGAATTTGGAAGCTGTGATTAAAAAAAGATTTTGTTCGCAATAATATGGATATGTTGTATTTCAGAATTTCTTTTTGAAATTGTGATTTTCTTACTGATGATCTTTTCTTGACTGATCGAACAGACACTATTGGAAGTGAGCTGAACTGGATGATGACATCCTGAATAAATGAGATGTTTAGTGTCCATCTACAGAAAGCACCAAATTGTATTTGTATGCATAATTTATATTTTAATTTGCATAATTTTTTAAAGATGAACTTGAAACGATTTGATTTGCATATTTTTTGAAAGTTAAATGTGAATCGGTTTCATATGCATAATTCATTTTTAAAAGATTGAAGATTGAAAATTGATTCTCAGAATTTTTCTGACATCAAATCATCATGTGTACGAATTTGGAAGCTGTGATTAAAAAAAGATTTTGTTCGCAATAATATGGATATGTTGTATTTCAGAATTTCTTTTTCACTTCATGGCACAAAAAATTGTGATTTTCTTACTGATTATCTTTTCTTGACTGATCGCACAGACACTATTGGAAGTGAGCTGAACTGGATGATGACATCACTGAATCATCAATGAACTGGAAAAATGACTCTGTTATTGTCTTCTTGTGTTATTGACAAACTATTTTCCTGTTTGACACTGTAAAGCTGCTTTGACACAACCAGTAGTATAAAGCGCTATACAAATAAAGCCAAGGTGACTTGACTTGACTCAGTATTTTTGTCTGATTTTTTTGTAAAATATTTAAACATTCTTAAATCCAGATACTTTTACTTCTTATTTTAGCACCATTGAGATACTATTATAGATTATATTTATATTTTGAATCTTTGTTTTTACATTTTCTTTTTTAATTTTAATTAAAAGAAATATTTGAATGTCGATATAGTTTTATTCATTTTTATTTCAGTTTTACTTTTTATTACTAAATATTATTAAGTATTTAATTATTATTAAAGTGAAAAATGTTGCTTTGGAAACTAGCCAAAATTTTTGTTATAGTTAACTATAATTATGTGACATAGAATAAGTTATAGGATAGGATATAAAGTCTTGTTTTCTAAAAAAAAAAAAAAAAACATTTTATCAAAATTAAGTGACATAATGCTTAATCCAATAACAAATATCTGTCAGTAGGGTCAGAAAAATAAAACTTGCTTTACTCAATTAACTTTGATAATTTTTCCAGAAACAATTTTGCTTCACAAGTAAATTAATCTTGATTATAAGTATTTTTTATTATACTGTAATACTGTCATTTATACTATAATCTTTAAGTAAGAAAATCTTTTTTTTGCAGTGTACATATCTAAACTAACAAGTTTCAGTGCTTATCTTCATCAACAATAAACAAAATGCACAAAAATGTAATTGTATTTTCAACATTCACAATTATAATGAATTATAATCAATATAATTGTCCTCAACTCAAGGCTCAAAGGAAATGGTAATTATGACATTGTGGCATTCAAGTGTGCCCATCTAATAAATGATTGCAATAATCATGATTGCAATGCTCCTCAAAGGCTGAATTTTACTAATGGATCTTATTATCACAGTGCTTCAGTCAATAAAACTAAGACCTCAATCGCAATCTGAAAATTATTAAGATTCGATCAACCTGGCCTGTAATGAGAGCTCATCTCAGGAGGGTTTGGATTAAGCTGAGGGCAAGAGGACTAATTACCCTCACATTATCTGGTTAACAAGGTCATGATCCCTTTAAACCCACACCAGTGATGGATGACATGATCAGATCATGATCTTCACATCATCCACTGACTCCAACATTCACTGCACAAAAGAAAAACAGACTGCAGTGCAAAAATAAAATTATATATATATATATATATATATAGTATTTATACATTATGCTAGTATTTGTTGTACTACTTTCCATTTATGCTGATTTTAAATAAATAAATACATTTATTTATTTAACATATATTTAAATTTGTAAAGTATCTATACATAGTAGTATGTACTAATGTCATACTGCTTGCAATTTATGCTGATTTTAAATAAAAGAACAAACGAATTAATTAATTAATTAATTAATGAATGAATGAATGGATGAACAAATTTCATCTCACATTCATTCATAAATAAAACACATGTATAATGTTTGTAAACATAATGGTAGTATGTACTAATGTACTGTTTGTAATTTATGCTGATTTTAAATGACTGACTGACTGACTGACTGATTGAGTGACTGAATGAATGAATGAACGAAACGAACGAACGAGCGAGCGAGCGAGCGAACAAACAGACAAACAAAGAAATTGTAAAATATTTATTCATCATGGTGTTATTCGTTGTACTAACTTTAATGTAGACCGATTTTACATAAATAAATAATACAGAAATAAATAAATATATTTATTTAATATGTATGTTAATGTATAAATAAAAAATTATACATAAGGGTATGTACTACTGTTGTACTACTTTTAATTCATGCTGATTTTAAATAAATAAATAAGTAAATCAATGTATTAAAAAGATTTTTACCTTTGTAAAGCATATATTATGGCAATATTTGTTTTCATTTTTTTTCCGATTTTAAATAAATAAATAAATACAAGGAAAAAAAATAAAAGAAAACTTTTGGAAAGTATTTATATAATAGTCGTATGTCCTACTGTTGTGAAACTTGTAATTAATGCTGATTTTAAATTAATAAATAAACAAACAAACCTGGACTGGATGAATTTCATTACTACATGAAGTACTGAGAATGCCTTTTTTTTCATTGCTCAAATGTTGCTCTTTCATTGCTCAGAAGACTTGCAGTTGAGACATGCAGTTCAATCAGTTGTCTCAATGAAGTATCAACTTTGCCTCAGATATACAGTGCTTGAGGAGAAATTTAAATTAAATGCAAACAGAGCCAATAGCTGATATGCAATAAGAGAACAAAGCAAAACAAAAATGAACATGTAGAGCAGCTCAGTTCATATTGAGATTTCTGACTTCTGATTGCAGAAGAATACAGAAGAATAAATTAAAAAAAAAACATAAAATACATAACTCATACAAGGTGCAAAATACACAGTTTAAGAGACATAAAACATACCATAGACACAATAAAATAAATAAACAAAATGTCAACATCCGGGGTCAAAGGCCAAGGAGAAAAGATGGGTTTCAAGACACGATTTAAATAAAGACAATGAAGAAGCCTGTCTAATGGGCAGAGGCAGATCATTTCACAGTTTAGGAGCTGCCACAGCAAAGGCACGGTCCCCTCTAAGCTTACGCTTTGTTTTGTGCACATTCAGGAACAGTTGATCAGCTGACCTGAGAGAACGAGTGGGTGCATAAGGGTGTAGCAGCTCAGAAATGTAGGGTGGGGCAGGACCATTTAGGGGTTTAAAAACAAATAAATAATTAAAAAATGGATCCTAAAATGTCCAGATCATCACATCGCTCCCTGGACACTTCACTGGCTGTCAGCGACTGCATCTGTGATTATCTTATGAAATGAAAACAGCACTGAGGCGTGTCACCACTGGCCCACTGTCTCGCCTTCATTTCCTCTCTCCAGTGTGTGTCTGTGTGTTTGACATTTAGTCCAATAAGATCAGATGAAGCCAACTACAGTTCTCCAACTCACAGCTCATGATATTTACCACACATCTTATTGATATGATATTTAACACACATGCGTGAATGAAAAACAGCCCGTACAAAACATGATTTCATGAGAAAACTGATGGTTTTCCATAGATATGAGTGTCAGTGTTGTGAGTCATTGGAGTGAGCGCTGAAGTTAGAACGTGAGGAAGTTGTGGAGCTGTTAGCATGCAGACAGTGAGTTCTCCATCTGAGACACAGTCCACCAATCGTGAGTTCAGCTGAGGTGAAGAACAGAAGCTCTCAGATACTTGATTAGACTCCAAAACTGAACACCTCGCCTCACCTCACGTCTCCAAACCAACTGTCTTCATCCCGATTGGATATACACCATAGTACTGAACGCTTACTATATTTACACAAGGTACAGCCAATATGCTTCAGATTTGTTTGTATTGTAGTGCACATTTATATTTTGTTCAGCCTTCATGTTCGCTCTTTGTAAAGCCAGACATATGAAATAATAGGTCTAAATTCTAACTTAGTACTTTTAGACAAAAAGAAAAAAGTATGCATGTGTGTTTTTTGTTGAGTATCATATTTCATACGTCAGGCTTTTATGGCTCATATAGTAAAATATTGTGAGAATATGGAGAAAAAAACCCTCAATTTTATTCAGAGACACAAACTGAGCAAAAATCTGCAATTTGGTGCAGATGCTGATATTTATAATAAGAAAAAGTATGAAATTCTTGTCATGTAATGTACAGTAAATCAATGAGATCTTTATACTGTAACTGTATAGCAGATACTTAATAATATGAATATCAGTCATCTCTATATCTCCAATAATATGTCTTAGTAAGATGATATTCAAATGCTTAGTTTGATGATCAAAGCATATAATGCAATGCCAGACAATGATGAATGAGAGATAAACAAATAAATGATCAAATTTACTTTTTCTCACCTTTTTAACTTCATATTTGATGGCGAGTTTGATGCGGCTCAGACAGGGTCTCTGGTGTTCTGTGGGCGGGTTCTGGTCCACATCACCGTTCAGAATGGCCTCCACTTCCTCTGTGTCACGACAGAGATCCAGAACACCTACCACAAAGTCCTTACACTGCATAGACAACTTCCTGTAGTCATTCTGACAGAGAGAAACACATAGAGACAGAGTTTAGTCGGGAGGCCCCACCTGTCAATTAAACCATGTTACCATAGTCACATATTCATTTGACTGAAGAAAATTAAGATATTTGTTAAGAATGTATCCAATAAATTTGTATTTTTTTTGCATGTGGCTTTTTGAACTTCAAATAAGGCAAATAATCCTGAACAGTTTTCTCTCCAGGTAAATAAAAAATCTAAAATCAGATGGCAGTGGAAATTTAAATTTACCACATGGAAAATTCTCATTCATTTGAAGCAAAATAAAATAATTCTCATTCATTTGAAGCAAAATAAAATAATACTTTTTAAATAAATAAATATTTTTAAATAAATAAATATTATTATTTTTAATATTTAAAATAAAATAAAATATTAATGAGGTATAAAAATATATTTATTAAAATATATTTGTTAAGTATTTATACATCATGGCAGTTTTTGTTTTACTTTAATTTACTGTAACTTAAATAAATTTAAATTATTCTATTTAAATACAATAAATAATAAAAAAAAAGACCTGTTCAAAATCAGTTTTTTTGATCCAGTCAAATAAAAGAATCGGTAAACAGACTGCACTGAAAAAAAATTTAATTGCCACATGGAAAAACTCCCATTCCTGTAAACCTTTCAATCAAGCATTCAATAATTTAATAAATAAAAATAAAAATGATACAATCATTTTTTTAAATAAAATGTAAAACATATAAACAAGGTTTTACTTGATGATATGAAATGAAAATTACTTTTTTTGTATTATAGGATATATATTATATATTAATTTAATCTGTGGGTGGAAAAGATGCTGAGCTCCGGACGGCCGTCAGACTGATCTCTGAGATAACGAGCAGTCTATCCGTCTCAGGAAACAAATCCCTTCACTCGTGTGTGTCTGAATCAACATCCGTTCAAGCAAAGACACGGATCGGCCTTCGCTATAATCAAGGTCTGTCTGTGATAAACTCTGGACCGTTCCACAGTTTGGGCTCAAAGCAGCCTGTCGTCGTTGGATCAAGTAGACTGACGTGGATTTGCTTCACAGTATGTCAAACATGCTGACTGATGAATGTACACTACCATTGAAAAGTTTGGGGTAAGAAGAAATGTTTCTTGAGCAGCAAGTCAGCATATTAGAATGATTTCTGAAGGATCATGTGACACTGAAGACTGGAGTAATGATGCAGAAAATTCAGCTTTGATCACAGGAATAAATTACATTTTACAATATATTCAGATAGAAAACAGTTATTTTAAATTGTAATAATATTTCACAATATTACTGTTTTACTGTGTTTTAATCACAAATGCAGCTTTGGTGAGCAGAAGAATCTTCTTTCAAAAAACATTAAAAAGATCTTAACAACTGTAAACCAAATGGAAGAACCTATTAAAACATTAAGTAAATTCATGAAGTGCCATCCATCTGCTATAAGATCTAGTCCTGACATCTTTTATACTATCTACTGTAAGTATGAAAATGCTTATGCTTCTAGCCATGCATGTTTGACTTTACAGTATGTGCTGTTGCATTACAAAATATGAAAATAATTCATAATTCAATGCAAAGCTTCACGTCAGAGCTGCAACTCTAATGTGTATTTTAGAGCATCTGGAACACTGCATTTACAAATCAGCATCCATAATCCATAACTGAACTGTTTTATAATGTGAAATATGATTATGACGTCTGCCTCAGGCATTAAGTTATCTGCAGTCCTTACATTAGATGTAATATCTCAATCTTCTACAAAACCATTAAGATTGTTATTCTTGAAATTACTCACATTAGCCCAGCGAATGCATACAGCAATCAGAGCACACACACACACACACACACACACACACACACACACACACGGGTTTCATTCTGGACCAGCAGTTGTTCTAAGTGTTGAACCCTTTCAGGAAAATATATCAGCATAAAATCTGATGCATTATGATTCTACGCATATGAGTGAACATCTCAAATGAACCAAAAATGCAAAACATTCACTTCACAGTCATACAATATCTAACTCACAGATCCAGCATCTGTCAACACATTTCATACCACTTTAGCCATGAAGAACATAACCTGGACGAGAGCAAAGCATTAAAATAATCAATTATCAAAAGAGACAACGTTATTTTTTAAGATTTTAAGGTACAGTGGTCACATAATAACTATACATGTTAAATTAAAGTAATGCTGTTTGTATGTACTGTATAACAGGGCCTGAACAACATGCAAGACATAAAACACATACATTGCTCTCAAAATGAGCCTAAATAATAAGCCAAATTAAAGATAGTAAAGATACATTTCAAAAAGAACTATATACATATATATATATATATACATATATAT